AATGATACTATGTTTTCAGTTTATTTTGTTATATAATTTTACATGATTTTGCTTGTCACTAAAATATAAAACAGCCCTGGCTGAGTGGCTCAGTGTCATCCTGTGCACCAGGGGGGTTGCTGGTTTGATCCCTGGTTAGGGCACATACCTAGGTTTTGGATTCCATCCCCGGTCGGGGGGTGTACAGGAGGTAACTGATCAGTGTTTCTCTCTTATATCGATGTATCTCTCTCCCTCTCTCCTTCTCCCTTCCTCTTTCTCTGAAAATCAATGGAAACATATTCTCAGGTGAGGATTTATACACACACACATACACACACATACTGTTAGACGTATTAAAGGTAAAAAGTGAAAGTTCTTTTTAGTCCTCAGAATCCTTTTTCCAAAGATGACCTCTGCCAGCCACTGGGTCTGGGCCCCTTCTAAACGCTGTCCATGCACTCACATATGTGCACATACCAACGTGACTACACTGCTAGGTGATTGGTCTATGTCGTGCATCAGTGTGATAACTGCACACTGCTCCCTGCCATCCCTTATCACTTTGCTCGTCATCTTGGTGACTCTGCCCTATCGGGACACGCTCACCAATCGTAGATTATTTATAATAATCTAACCAACCCACAACTCACGGCTTTCGTTTTTGATTATGTACAGTATTGCACTGAACAATCTTATGCATGTATCTGTGTATATATGTGACTAAAACATAGCTGGAATTGTCACGCTAGGGGATACACATTTTAAATTGTCGTCCACACTGCCAGTTTCCTTACAACAAACATGTTCCTTCTCCTTTGAGCAGCCTGTGTGCAGTGCAGCTCACCATCTGTCCATACCACAGACAGGCTGCAGCCTCCATGCCCTTTCCTCTGTAAGCTCTCCCTAAAGGCCCACAGTGGGAACCAGGTTTCCCTTCCTTTGTTAGTTTTGAGAGCCAATGAGATGGTGGATTTAGCTACAGGTCTAAGCTTCGGAATACGTACTAATCAGACTGTAGCTCGAGGGTCGATTGTGCATGTGATGTTTTATCTATGAAAGCTCCAAATTACAAAGTGCACTTAATAGTATCCTTTCTGTTGTCAGTTAACATGCTGGAATCAGTGGTTCCTTGCTAAGAGGTTTGGGTGATACTATGGGAAATAATGAGATTGGAAAGGCCATGTGTGGGGGGTAAGGTTGGACCTTCTTGTAAAAAATACACTCCAACACTCCCAGTAATGGAAGTCACTGGGCAGACGTGTGTGATGGATTAGATTTACAACACAGGAGAGGCGCTAAGTATTTAGAAATGACATGAGGGTGGTTTTAAAGTCTGCATACATTCTTTTTAGTTTCTATTTTTTTAATATAATTTTATTGATTTCACAGAGAGGAAGGGAGAGTGAGTTAGAAACATCAATGATGAGAGAAAGTCATTGATCAGCTGCCTCCTGCACCCCTGCCCCCACCCCTGCCAGGGATTGAGCCCCATGTGCCCTGACCCTGACCGGGAATCCAGCCTTGATCTCCTGGATCCTTGGTCCGATGCTCAACCACCAAGCCACGTGGGCCAGGCTCTGTTATTCTTAAGACAGCCTCATTCACTTCTTTATCTCTTTCCTCCTTCTTATCTGTCTTCTAAAAATGTTTATCTTTCTTTTCTCTGAAAACCTGGAAGTGGACCTGTTCTAAATGTGATCTAGGCTGAAGTGGAATTCTCTTTCTGAGCATATTGTGAACCAGAGCCTAATAAGGACGGGCGTGTGATCACTAACCACATTTCCCTGGGCACAAAGGGAAGCCGCCCCTCTATCAAAGCAGGAAAGACGGTGGAGAACCTGCTGCCTGCGACCACGCAGATGACGTTCCTCTGCACTAAGCCATGGGGCTCTTTTCTATTAATGGGTCTGGAGGGCAGAACCCCGTGGAGGCAGGACACTTATACAGACCGTGAGCTGAGCGGCAGGGTCCAGAACCCCCCTCTCCTGTCCATGATGTATACCCTCTCTGACCACTGCGGGACACGAAGGGGCTTCTGCAGAGCAGTGACCTCTCCAGGGGCAGACGTGCAGGGCAGCAAACATTCGGGCCCGGGCTGTGGCTGGGTTTCTGGAGGCTTACCTGAGATGCCGCCTGCTCCCTGAGAACTTCCTTCTCACTCTGGGTGTGGAGTGTCTGGCTCCTGTTCCATGTGTCAGAGGAAGAGGCACTGTCAAAACACGTCCCTCATTGTTTTGGCAATCTCATGTAGAAATTTTTAGGGAGAAAAAAAAGGCAGGAAACATCTGTGCTGGTGGAGAACCCTGCAGCAATGACTCAGATTGCCAAGGAGGCACACGCATGTCCTTCACGTACAGCTCGGTTCAGCAGAAGGTCTTTCTGATGATAAGAAATCTCAGGAAACAGTGATGGCAGGGACAGGATGTCTACAACCCAGAGTGCTGACACCTGCTGGGAACCTCCAAGGGAGCCTCCTCCTGCTCTGGGGCGTAGGGGAAGGCCAGTGCTCCCCGCTGCTCCTGTCATCAGCAGGGTCCTGAGAGAGGCACTGCTGAGCAGCAGGCATTTGTGGAGCCGTTTCTAGTGTCACTCAGCTGACAGAGCTGTAAGTGTGACCCACTGTACAAACAAACATGGAGAGGTGATCTTAGCAAGTCCACAAGTGAGAGGAACACACTTCTTGTACAGATGGTTCACCAGCCAGGAGGTCACATCAGACACCAACACAAGGCATTGAGGACTGTAGGTATTTTGGTATTTTGCAGCTGAAGGAAACAATTTACATTTTTAGCCCAGCCCTATTACTATCCAAGAGAAACCTGAACTTCAGAGTGGTTCAGTGACAAAAAATGTTCACACAAATATTGGCTAAGATGTGTCTTGCTAATCTAGAAATAAACCATAAATAAACTGTCCATAAATTTAAACCATTATATTATGTTTTCTAAGTTAATAATGCCAAGTTTTATATGTAACTGCCTTAGCAGAATCTGATGGAGAGAGCAGGCATGGATTTCAGAAATTTAAAATAATAGAAGTTGGGTGGCAGCAAATGTCCTCTAAGCACACACTCATCTTCATGAGCCCTCACTGTCCAGATTCAGAGTTCCTGCATGAGCACAGTTCAAGACTGAGGATGTAGAAAGTGTTGCTGTTTGTTCTGTCCTGGATACAAACTCATTTCTGAATCTATGTGATTTGTTAGGGGGCAGTGTCTGATATGAGAATGTTTGGGGCATTTGCCTTTGTCATGCATATGTTAAATTTACAAATCTACTATAAATAGAAAAACAACTAGTGTTGAGAATTTCTTGCTGACATTGTGTGCATACATTCTGTGTGTGTGTGCATGCATGTGGCTGTGTGTGTGTGTGTGTGTGTGTGTGTGTGTGTGTGTGTGCATGCCTGTGTTGAGTACTGGCAGACAGGAAAAGGCAAGAAAGCACACTTCTTAAAGAGTTTCAAGTAGAGATGGCTGTATTTGCTGTAAATAAAACCGAAAGTCACAGTTTGTATTAAAACCTTGATACATATATATATATCTATATATCTATATCTATGTATATATAGATATAGATATATAGATATATACACACACATATATATTTTCTTTAATTTTAAATAAGGTCTTTCTTTTTTTATCTCTATATTTTATTTTATCTTTCCCATCACCGTTTACCCCGATACCCTTTCCCACCTCCCCGCCCCACCTCCATAACCACAGCGGTGTTGTCTTGTTGATGAGCTCTTTCTCTTTTTTTTCTCTTATTTGTTCAATCACTTATATTTTAAAATCTTACAGAATAACTCTAAATTAATGATTCTAGACTTTGACACAAAACAAATATTAACTCTCATTCTATTTATCAACCTTGATTTTTTTTAGGGTAATTTTAAAACCTTTCTAGCTCCATGTGCACATTTCTGAATTATTCTACTCTTTATGTGATTATTTTGGTAAATCCTTATTAGGGAAAATAATAAAATTTCTTATGGTTACATTTCATAGGCTTTCTGTGTATTTCATAGGAAATTGTGTGTTATCTTATTTCAAATCCCCCTTGCTAAGCACCCTGAATATTTTCTTCATGGCAAGGTAACACGCAAGGAGTGGAGTACAGTGTCTTTTAGAGGATTTATGGTAAAGCTGCGGAATGTAGCTGATCATGAACAGCATGAAGAGCCCTCAGGGTCCTTCATTTGCCTGACACACTTCACTGCTGCCCATTAACACTTTGGCTGTTATTGCTATAGACTCAGTTTAATGAGCATCTCTGAGTTAGGAGGTTTGCACCAGAAACAATAGCTTCAACAACTGAGGCACCTCCTCTCTCCACTTTCTGATATTTCAGTTTCTCTTTTCTTTGTAAAGAAAATAAATCCTCTCTTAGGCAGTATAGTTTGGAATAATCTGGGTATTTTATTTTCAATTAGAACAGTCAGTAGTTCCTAACATTGACACAGTATTGTAGAGAACCTTGATAGAAAGTTAATAAATAAATTCTAATTTACATTAATGAAGATAATGTCTTTTGTTGTTGTTCTACCAAAATAAAATGGAGCTGACATTTGGAACCACCCTTGTCATCTCCAGATTATATTCTGTTATGAATGAAATCACATTATTGCCAAGAAATAATTACACATCTAAAATATTTCTCATTTATTAAATTGTTTCTTAACTGCATCAAAGTGTTGAAGAAGGCAACAGTCTTACAAATTGGCTGGTAATGGGTCCATCTTAATATTAAGTGCTTGTGCTTAGTTTGAGCTTCAAACCTAGGTATGTTGAATATCTTGGATTTCAAAGTAAATTAACTAAATGTTTAAAAGCATTGTCTACTTGTCCATGTGGCCTTTGACATCAGTGTTTATAAGTAAAATCACTGACTCATTTCTTAATGTGCAGTTACCTATTTTGAAATGTAACCCTTTGTTGTAAGTAGAACAGCACAGAGGAAGAATTCTCGTCAGTCTCACCTCTGTTCAGGTGGTTATTATGTTGTTTTGTCCTTTAGAAAGTGAACCGGAAGAAGAATTGGTGAAATCACATCCAGCTGGCATCTCTGAACGCCCAGCTCTGACCCACTGAGTCAGCAAAGTCTGATGCAAAGAGCACTCACCAGGCGACTGAGTTCAGGTACCTGCCCCACAGCTCTCTGATGACTGTGTAGAAGGGTCCTCTCCTTGGGCCCACCCCGATTGCTGCTCTGAGTCACTCCTCTCTTCAGGGCTTCCTGGTGCTCCCTGGCTTCTGGGAGGCAGTTAAGAGTTCTGTTGTGCATCTTCTCCAAACAGACAATTCACACTAAAAAGAGCCATTTGCCGTTAAATTAGATGATGCACATGTTCTCGCTACTGAAGCTCCACAGAGCAGGAAAGCTGTGCATCCTCTGGGCACTGTGAGAGTCCTCAGGATTGCAATGGGGAAAGTGACACCTCAGCCGGGGGATGTTTCATGTGGAATCACTGCAAAAGTAACTGGTTACTAATTTTAGCAAAATGTACTCATTATATTTTGGAGTTTGGGGTGGGTGCTGGCATGTGCCTAATAATTGCTGCTCAGGCAGCACAGTTTTAGGGAATCTCATAGGCTGGAGGTCAACATGCTTGTAATATGACTCAGCTCCCCCCTCTGCAGAGTCTCAGCTCCTGAATATGTGCATTCTTGATTCTGTTAATCTCATGCCCATGTTGGGGCATCCACTTTACACACACGAGACTTGGTTGGTGAAATGGTAAGTGCTTAAGATGCTCTGTGAGGAAAACCCTGGCTTATCTTTTCAGGTTCACTGTGCGATAGTAATTTATTTGTCTGCCGACTACCCCATGTGCCTGTCTGATAATAGAACTACTTGCTGCTACATGGAAATTAGACGCTGGGAGCGTCTTCCATATGCTGCAGCCTTGTGGGTGCTGCAGTCTTTAGGAGCTTTATGAACTGGTATAATAGGTCACAGTTGTTCTAATTATGCTCTCGTCTCTGCCCTCGTCACTTTCCCTGAAGAAAGCCACTGCACTCATTGGCTCGGTTTTGAGAAGGCATTATGTTTAATTGTCTTTCCCCTGGAGTTAAAAGTAAGGCCTGTTCACAGTGAGTGTTAAACTCATACTTGAGTTCAACGTCAGTTCACGTTTCTGAATTGTAGGTGTTTCATGCGTGTAGGCTATCTCGTTTTGTCTAGTCTCATTCACTTTTAGTCATAAGCTAAAGAATGTGTAATGGACTGTTATGAAAGTTTAGTATTTAAATGTGGATTTGTTGAATTGACGTTTCTGGCATGGAGTTAAATGTTCACATTTAAATGGTTATCGACGTAGTTTACTTACTAGAAAGCCTTCAAATACAAATCTCACCATGAATTAAATAAAGCAAAGTGAAACAATAAGCTAGTTTTCAGAGAAAAATTCATGTTTATATCAACAAACGTGGCCTTGAACGGGCTTCTTAGTTCAGGCATTACATTTGCTTTCAAGGTGGACAGACAAGTTGGAGTTGTTGAGAGAAATGAAGAGATCCCAAGGTTTCAGCAGGCACTAATCTCCTCCTGGTCCACACTCTTGACCACAAGCCTGTCCACACCTGACCACAAGTGTATCTGTCTCAAACACCCCAACTGGGCCCTGGAGGTGGGAGACTCCCCTGGGTGTGGGATGAGCTTGACAGTCCCCCGAGAATCCCTAGGGGCCTCGTTGGATAGCAGTCGTAACCACCGATCACAATTATCCCTGTGGGATCCATTGACAGAGCACAGCACGTGTGTCCTTTCCCTCAGCCTTGCCCAAAGGTCCACTGTCTCAGGTGTAGAGCTCTGTGGCAGCACATGTGACAGCACAGTACTGCATAGACCCAATGAGGGCTGTGTGTATGCGTTGCAGTTTCTGGGTACTTTTATCTATTCTGTAAAGATTAGGGTGTGGCCCTCAGGAATAATCAGTATTTACTTGCTGTATGTCATAAATGCTGTAGTCTGTGGATGATGAAATAAAACAGTGGATTGAAAGAAACAGATGAGCATTCCACCATGGGAATACTCATGTGTCGTAACAGGGCTTCTGGGAACAAAGTATAAATCTTCACATGATCATCTACAAAATGAAAGTATGAAAGTCATCATTATTGCCTAGCTCAGGGTGAGCAACTTCTGTAAAGGGCCAGGTAGCCAATATTTTAGGCCTTGTGGACCCTATGGTCTCTGCAGCAGCTCCTCCACACTGACTTTGTCGTGGGAGCAGCAAGTCGGTTTGGTCCTCAGGCAGGAGGTTGCCAACCAGTGGTAGATATCTAAGTTAATACTTCCTAAATAACCACAGTCATTTTTGGAGAGCAGCATATAACTATTACTCTCTTTTCAAATCTTATTTCTTGCACACTCACACAATAGAGTCTAAAGTCCTCATGTACCCAGACATGTTGCTCCACAGAGCAGCACTTTGCTGGTGGTGGGTGTCTGAGCTGAGTAGTCAGGGTTGAGCTGGGACAGAAGGTGCACAAAGCCTATCAGAAGGCTAAAGAGAACAGGTTTGTTGTATCTTCAGAAGTCAGGGTGGCACCCAAGAAACTGTCATATTTTTAAAGAGGAGACAATTTTCTAGTATTTTCATGCCTCAGTGCTCAGCTCGGACAGGGCTGTGTGGGATGAAGAAGGGGAAGGTGGCTTGGGGGCCATGAAGCATGGTGCGCAGATCACAGTGAGACACTGTGAGGAGACCAATGAGCAGAATTGTAAAGCACTTAACAGCACAGCCTTGAGAGCAGGAGGAAGTTACACAGCCAGTCTCTTGGAGCCTCAGTTTTCCCATCTGCACAGTAGGAGAATGTTTTCTGCTCTTTAGCATTGATGAGGACTGCATAAAATAATGCACATAACACATATTGCTCAGTAGCAAGCTCCTTAAATTAGTTATTGTCATTATTATTCATAAAGAACCAAGACATACTTGCTGTGCCATGAAAGATATAAGGCATAAGTAATCTGATTTACATCTGTGTTATGCTTTCTGCTATTCAAATCAAAGTGCCTCCACTTACCATGCAGCTGTGTAAAAAATGAAGACACACTCTGAACTGATGTAGAAAGATTTCAAGGATATTTTGTTAAAGAAAAAAAGCAAGATGCAGAAAAGGAGAAGAAATATGAACACATATATTTGCCTGTGTTTGCATAAAATTTCTAGAATAGACAAGCTGATAGAAATGTTTATATGTATAGTAACTACACAGAAACAGGCAAGATTGGGGGGGTTGCATTGTTTTTATTCATGTATATATTCATTTTTTAATTATCTTTAAACCATGCAAATGTAAAGGCGAGAGGGAAGGAATTAGGGAAAGAAGGAAGAAAGAAAGGAAGAGGGAAGGAGGAAAGAAAGGGCATCAAGGATCTAAGGAAGGAAAAGGCAAGGAGGGGAAGGAATGAATAAAAGAAGGGAGAGAGTGCCCGGCCGGTGATGCTCAGGGATTGAGCAGCAACCTAGGATCCAGGAGACTGTGGTTTCGATTCCCGGTCAGGGCACATGCCCAGGTTGCAGGTTCGATCCCCAGTCAGGGGTGTGCAGGAGATAGCCGATCAATGATTCTCTCATCATTGATGTTCTGTCTCTCTCCCTCTCCCTTCCTCTCTCTGAAATCAATAAAGATATATTTTAAAAATAAAGAAAATTTAAAAAAAGAGAGAGAGAACCTCCTATCAGATTCCCTAATTAACAGTGTATGTATACCGGACACCATTACCCTTTAATAACGTCAGTTTTTCCTATAGCTCTTATAATATTTCATGCAAGCTCTTCTTTCTAAACCCTCTCATTTAAAATTTGTTTTACAAAATGTAAAATAAACTATATCATTGCTTAATCAATAATAGAGTTATAATTTAAAAAGCCAAAGTTTCAGAATTATTAAAAGAAAGTGTTTTCTAAAATAACATTCAAGAAATAACTATGAGATGACAAAAACATGGAAAAAATAGCGGCAGTCACAAACTAATTTTCAGAATAATAAAGGGAAAGTGATTTTATATCTTAGTTATGTTTTATACAGAAGGTCTACAAAAAACATATTATGGACAATTGGGGGAGATGTGAATATGGACTGTATATTTTATGATCACTTTCTTTTTGTTAAAATTACTGAAGGATTTAGGTGGGAGTAGCCATGATATCTACAACCCTCTTTCCAAAGGTTCAGAAAAAGTGTGAGAGCAAGAGAGGGAAAGTGTGTGAAAGTGTGTGTGTGTGTGTGTGTGAGAGAGAGAGAGAGAGAGAGAGCATGTGCGGTTGTGCGTATATGGTGTGTGTATGCGCATGCGTGCATGCATGTGGGTCATTCGGGTACCCCACTGATACTTGGCAGTGTGTATAATATGGCCCATGAAGGTATAAGGTAGCCTTACCCCATCCATTTTCTTAAACATTTATTTCTTAACATTCATTTAATGATGTCACACAGGGAGAACTCATAAAGTCCTTTACTATTCCAGTCAAGATAAACTGTCTCTCAGTGGAATTTCTCAGCCCGGCTCCCAGTGCCCCAGCAGAGCTGATCCTGTTAGTCAGAGCTCCGTATGAGCATCACCTGACCAACCATGACTCCCCCTTATTCACACTTGAGGAAGAAGCACGCCCTGCACCTTTCCAAGGCAAAACGATTCTTCATGACAGAGCTGCAAATGAGTTTTGAGTATAGGGCCCTTTCCACTCTGTGACATTGCCTTGGCTTGTTTAGTGCCTGATTAATTAAAATAAACTTTATTGTAACAAGATATTCAGTAATGATTTGCATACATGGGGATGCATTTGTAGAGCCCAGATACAAGAGCACCCTCCTTCTGAGAAAAGTGTTTGCTCTTCTGGAAATTCCATCTGCCATCAATCCATAGCTTATCTCTCCTCCACATGCTCTGAAATCACTAAGCAGAATGTCAGAATTTTATGAGCACCATATTTCTTTTAATTCATTCTCTCACAGAAAGCAAAGGGATTGTTAGTCGGTCAACACTCCTTGAGTGGCTACTGCACGTGAGACATTCTGCTAGGCCTCTGTTACAGGAAAGTAAACAGGAGAACCAGTAGTGACACATCGGTTACCAGAAGTCAGATGTTGGGGAGCTCGGGAGGTGTGGACCCACCCAGGCAGATGGG